TGTTTTAGAGAATATTGTTCACATTGGCTTAACCTTTCATTTTACTGCTATTTTCTGCTCAGCTCTGTGCATTTGCCCAATGGATTTAATGGTAATGTGCAGTATTTTATTGCTCGACAAAGCAACATTGTAAGATACCTCACAGAAGTTTTTGATTTCGAAACCTAAACAGTTTGTGAAATTGAAATTCATACTGGGCTCAGTTTATTTTTACATATTTGTAAAGGTGTGTAAAATGTTGTGCCTTACAAATATTGATGTTCGCTGATATCCTTCATAAGAGTCATATTTTCTCCTCTTGTACCCTAGCAAAATATTATAGAGTTGATCTTATAAGGGATGTGTTATTCTTAATTACCCATAAAATGGCCCAAAGGCAGTAGTTGGATGGGCTGGTCCCCTGCCAGGAAACGGAAACTTACCTGTCAAATGCAGCGAGACTTGAACTTTAGCCTACCACACGCACACATTTGAGCCCCCCAACCCCATTTCGCAACCACAAAGCCACTCGCACTTCCTGTTTTTTGTTGCCATGGGCCACAAAGTCAAACGCCGCATATTGAACAACATTTGTATGTCAGTCGTCCGGCGTCCAAAGTGGCAAATCGAAACTACAGTGGTTTTTGGCCGGTTTATGGTTTGAGTTTTCCCTATTTGGCCAAATGTAAATATGTCCGGTCACCTCCCAGCGATTTCCCATTCATTGGAAATGTAACAAACACGAGAAACGAATGTCAAATGCCAAACACCGTTCTATACCCTGAAACATTGAGATGGCCATGATCTGTCGACGGAACAAGTGTCAATTTGATTAATTGAACAGCGGGCTGGGAAGTTCCCGCTGTTTTGGCCAAGATGCTATCCCTGATCCTGCGAAAATATTCCCGACAATGAGGGGAACATATATCTTCTCAGAAGCGGTGGTGGTCACGGTGGCCTTGGCAAAAAATTCAATATAAAATGTTGCATAATTTTTCCCATCTCTTTCGGGCACCCTTTTCGGATTGGCTAAAACGGAAATTAATTTTTCCGCTTGACCCAATTCGCTCACGAATACATGTGTATGTACTCTGTTGTTTGTGTTTATTTAAGCTTTAAGTTTGCCTGTGTTGCGGTTATTTTTTCGTGTATCTCAATTGAACGGGCTCTCGAAAGTGAAGAGATAATTTATGCTAAAAATGTTGAAGGTGTTAAGTGGTTGATGAATGGTGAAGTGCCCCAAAGTGGGCAAACAAATAGCGACAGAGGTGGGTGTCAAAGGATCAAAGCAATGGCTTGGGCATTTTAAACCGCCAGTTTTGTCAATGGGTAAGTTTTATATAACAGCATTTGCGGGCTTTCCATTTGAACCATTCTTAAATTATACGCTATTTGGCAGCAGCCACTCAGCTGGCTGGTTCCACAACTGATATATTGTCATTCATATGTTGTGTCAGCAATTTGTTAGCTTTATGGCTCGTGCCACGCCCCCAGTTGTCGTCCCCAAAAAGCCAGAACGACTGATCGGGAAAAAGTAAAAGGAACGGAAAAGGGAAAACACAAAACTTGCATACATAAATTGTATTTATGCACTCCGCACTCTGCGCTCTGTCATTTCCTGATTTCATCGTTTTTATGGGGCCCTCAAAGAACGCAAGAAGAAAACTAAAATCAATACATTGCATATACTTTTCCGTAAAAAGTGAGATTGCTGAATAGCAAAATGGTGAGATTTGTAGGAAATCGAAAGCCCTTAAATCACTTTTGAATTTAAAGAAATTGGTTCTCTGTTTAGTCCTGGGAAGCTTTTTCTGACTTGAAGTCCTTGGGAGGTAATGCACATTCTATCCATTTGTTTAAATCTTGAATACCAGGCCCGGCAGCTTAAACTTGTATTTTGTCTGGAAAAATGGAAATTCATGTGAGGTTATATTGTTCAATATTTTAAATTGAGGCAACTAAAAGTTAAGTAAAATCGCCCCTAGAAGCTTAAGCATATCAAATCATTCAGTTAACAGCTTTTAGCACGAATACTGTGACAAAAGTTTAGCTCACAAAAAGATACAACTCTTGAAAAAGCTGTGGGACTTTAAGTTAGAAATGTAAAAATGTAACTTCATTACAAAACGAGATAGAACGCTATGGTCTAGTGTTTTCCCTATTAGATAGCCGATACTGGATGGAGATGTGCAGGCAGCAAAGCGACCTTTTCCGAGATTGCTGGGCGCTATTTAGCGGGGATTACACAATTTGGTCATAGCTTCTAAAAGTATAAAAATGGTCAGATTTAAACAATTTGTAGATAGGTATTGAATGATCAAAACAAAATTCCATTTACACTTTTACAAAATTTTTTATATGTGGGCGCCAGGCATATTTGACTGTGATAGAGGCTTCAAACCCTTTTTTTTCGCAAATACTGTGTCCTTTAGGCAATACTTTAATTAGTTTTTTAAGAAAAATATTAATTATTTCAGGGAAGTAATCGTTTGGAATATTTGTTGCATAAAAATATATAAACTGTTTAAACATTTTTAGCATGACCCTAAAGTAATTAGGTCTATTAACCTCGAAAAATAAAATTTTGCCAAAAGCGTTAGGTAAAAAATTGAATCTGGCTTAAAACATTTCCCCTAACCAGTTTCCTATGCTTTTGTTTCTAAGCGCCATAAACTGGTCTTACTGTTGTTGCATTATAATGAGGTAGCACCTTTCACAAAAGGTGCACAATGAAGTTGAATTGATTTCGAATCAACATGCGTCTTTGCATTAAACACGTTGAATGCTTTTAAAGTGATATGTTGTCCAAGCGGAAAGCTAATGATCATGGTCATAAATAAAAAGCGACGAATCTATTTATAGAGCTTTTGCTTTTGCTCATAAAGTCGACCCGTAAGTCTTGCAGCACCGAAAATCAGGTACCGTTATATGGGGATGTAGCTCAGATGGTAGAGCGCTCGCTTAGCATGTGAGAGGTACGGGGATCGATGCCCCGCATCTCCAAGGATAATTTTTTTTTTTTTTAAATTTTTTTTTTTTCCAACACTTAATGTATTAACACCCTTAAAAACTATTTAACCTACCCCATATATAGTTGAAGAAAATATTGAGAAATATCGGCATGATCGGATCTACGGGCGATATGGGGAATAGATCAACCCCCGCTCGGGTAAAAATTATATGTTGTATGTATCTTATTAAAATTTTTTTGATTTTTAAGGATTAAAAATCTCTAGGTCCTATAGTTTCCGAAATCACAGTGTTCACACGGACAGACGAACATGGCTGAATGGACTCGACTAGTGATCCTTAACTTTATGGGGTCGGAAACATACCTTTTTATTTAGCAAGTAAAAATAAATGAATTTAAATATTATTAAGCTATTAATATACATTATTTTCAGAATCTACTGAACGAAACTCAACATATGCTTTAAAACTTAAAGTCGACAATTCAGAAATTTGTAAACCAGAATGCAGACCTCAAAGATACTTAGGAATACCAGGAGGGAAACAAACTGATTGAAAGAAAAATAGAAATACTTTGGTAGTTATTTTCTATGTGAGCTTGTGGATATGGAAAGCATTATTATAATCATTTATAGATTTGTACTTTGAAAGAAAAGTATCATTTAGCATTAGGCGACCTGCGGGAGTTGCCTGCCCGGTTGACCTGAAAAAAGTGAGCGTCCAAACCGCAAGTTGAAGTAATTTCTACTTAGCCGCAACTAACTACGGCAGCATAGAAGTGTTTGAAAAAACGGAGAGGAAACTTTGGAACGCCTCAGAAATTAAAATAAAGTGCCAAGAAAGTGAAAAGCGAGTGGCCCATGCCCTGGGAGGAGCATCTTGAAGTTGGCCAAAGCCAAAGCCCGGCCATCAGCGCCAACTTCCGTTTGGGCCAACACCGCACCGCAGCAACCACTTCTTGTTTCCATTACTTTTTCCATTCTCATTCTTGCCCTTGCTTTTACACGACAAAAAATGCATTTATTTTGAAGATCATGCGTAGCATTTCATAATGAAGAGAAGAATGTACGCTACAGTCGCCACAACTTTATTTATATCCTGAATAATTGTTCAAATTCTAAAAACGTGCACATAGTTTCCAATGGTAACTCTATAGCCATTGATTGATAAATTAAACGAATTTTAAATCGAATTTGGATTTAAGATCTGTATTCTTTATTTTAAGTATATGGCTACTATATTTCCAGAGATTTGGTCATGTAGGAATGTAGGACATGTACATGCAGACACACAGAAAAAAAAACATACCAGAAGGATGTGGCTAGAATGACTTAGCCATTGATCCTTATCAAGGATTTGAATACTTTGAAAGTACGAAAATATATGCCTTTTAAACATAAGTAACTTAGTCAGTTGGTAAAGTTCTTTACCCATATTTCAAAAATATATTAAACGTCAAGCTGTTTTTCTCAGTGTACCCGGTGCCTGCGGTCGGCGTGGAAAACTGTTGCCAGTGCGTAGGCGTTGTGTCCACGTCTCTTTTAATAATTTGTAACTCATTTTGCACTCGGGAAACAAAATAACGACAACAACTGCAGTAGCAGCGGTAGTGGCAAACGTTTCACCTTTTGAGCTTTTGCTTCGGCCATGGGCAAAACACAAAGTGAAAAGTAAAAAGTTCTATGCCAAAAAGTCGCCGAAAAGGAAACTTTTCTTGGTTTCGAGTAAGGACATTACATTTGGGTTAACAGGCAAATTACGTAATTGAAGTGACCTAAGAAAGAGACGCTCAAGTGTGTGAAAATGCCAAGACCGCGAACGGGTTGAGTAAAATCTCTTGTACTTTATCCGCCATTTTCAAAGCTTTTTGGCTGATACCCGAACATATAACATATATAATGTTGTGACAAAAAATGGTAGGTTATTGAACGTACATGTTGTATTTTCATTGCGTGAGCATTTTAATTGATATGACTGTTATGCTTTAAGTATTTTTAATGAATTCAAATTTATGAGAAATAACCAAAGATAACATTAACTAATAACACATAAATAACGAAAACTGCACAAACGCGATAACAAGATAAGTCCACTCAAGGAAAACTAAAGCCACTGGAAAGAGTTCTTATGACATACAAATTCGTCACCAAAATAGATTAAATGTAGCGCATCACAGGGATATCATTGAGAAACTGCAGACGTGGCCATATACTTAAGACTTGGCCTTCGTAAGCAGGCGGCAGAAGATTTCTCTCGAGGTTCAATGCGACGAGCGGAAGATATTGGAAACCCCGCAATACTTCAAGGTTAGTGATGTCATTGTTTTTCAGGGACACCCATTGGAGCCAGGGGAAACGCCTCTCCGATTGCCTGAACATCCACAGGGTGGTCAGGTGGTTCCGGTCCAGTATCAGCTGCTCCAACTGCGGCAAACATTGCTCCATAATGCCGACAGCCGTGCTCATGCAGTTCTGCTCAGCCAGGGCGCAGAATTCCCCACGCCAGGCCTCGTCCATGTGGAATAGAGTGAGATCCAGGCTGCGCTGCTCAGGATCGTACCTTTCGAAAATCACACGTTTCAAACGCAACTTAAAGGCCGAGGTAATCCGGACCGAGGGCATCCGGTCACTGACCTTCAACCACACGCGATTATCCAGCCTTCCACGGCGGAACAAAGCACTCGCTACGTTGTAGCTGTCCACGTAGAATGTGAACTGGGCGCCTGAGTCCTCAAGATCGTCATACTCCCCGCCAGAGTGCTTATAGCGAGGATCTAGTTTCATCGGGTTCAAAATCCTTCGAAGGCGTCGCAGCACTCGGTTGATGGACTCCCGACGATCGCTGCTGAATACAAGCACACGATACCATCCATAAACGCTCACGGGAAGGTTGGCCACAGGTCTGGACTCGTTCTGAGTTGCGTAGTTCTCCGATCTCGGAGTGGAGTGGCACAAAGGACCTTCAGTGGAGTTTTGTCGAGGTGTGGAAAACATTTTTTGCTCTCCTTGGAAAAACTAAACTACGTACTTATTGACTGACGAATTGAAAACTATTAAAAATTGTATTTTGACATCACACGAAATGGCAACTATGACATCACGTGCTGGATGTTTCTTAAACTTATTTAAAGTATGAAATAATAAAACTGTGTATGCGTTCTTTTAAGAACCAAGAAAATTTGAAACTTAAGTTGGAAGCTTAAACACGCCATCTATACGTTCGTCGCAAAATAATGCTGCCAGATAGCTGAAAAAATATTGTAAACGTAAAATAGTTTGTTATTGGAACGTTGCGCCAAAAATCCACTGTAGGAAGTATGTAAGATTCATGTAGAAGTATGTATTACCCCTGTAGAAAGCAAAAGTTCTGTAATCAGACGCTAGAGGTCGCATGACGTAGATTCCTTTGCTGTAAAACAATCGATAGCACAACCGATTTTATCAGTTGGTTGACAAAATTTTAAGTCCTGTTTAGCTATGTTATACTTAAAGCGGTTATTCCACGGTATTGTTCGGTAATTGCAAAATGAAAAACAATAGTTGATTTTATATTTTGTAAATCGCTAGTTTCAACTTTACTGTTCTGACCAGCAACTGATGCTGCACCTTAATCGGAATTTGTTTTTAAACTAGATGAAATGCTTAGATAATTAAAGCTAACCTAGGCTTTAAAAGTAGTCCTCTACAAATTCTTGCACTAATGACGTACTTTTCTAACAAGTTTTATTGTTAGGAACGGACTTGAAATGTTTTCTATACATCTATGTATGTCGTTATAGCTCTGAATTTTTTTGTTAACATAATGTTTGAAGTTATTTAAATTTTACAGTGTAGTCGATGCTATCGATACTATTAAAACTTCAAAAATTATGAACAGGGCCTTTAATATCAATTGATTCTGGGGAAATTATCTGGTGGATTATACAAACGCTTTTAAAGGCAACATACATTTTTGGTTTTCTTAAGTTTTATTAAAGGACACTAAGTAAGACGCACAACGAAAAGATTATTCATTTGAAACTGAAAAAAACTTAATAAAGAGAAACGATTCTTGATTTAAATTATAAGAGCCTTGATGCTGTAGAAGATCACCAGCATCGTTAGCACTCCCTGGGGAATGTTGAGTGTGGGTGCTGATGATCGCTTTTTAGGGTAGTACACGGTTTTCTTGGACAGTAGGATCACTTGGGGCTGTCCAGCACTGGGGTGAACAGCGGGGGCAACCGGAGCGGGAGCTGGAACAGCCACAGGAACTGCAGCAGGATGGACGGCTACAGGAGCAGCAGGAGCGAGTGCACCTGGGACGGGAGCTGGAGCCACTGCAGCAGGGGCAGCAGGAGCAGCAGGAGCAGCAGGGGCAGCAGGAGCAGCAGCAGGAGCAGGAGGTCCTGCCACGGGAGCAGGGAACACCGGCAAGGGCTGCGGCATCACAGGAACGTGAGCAGGACTTGGGGCAATCGCAGGAGCTGGCTGGTTGGCCTGCTGCAGCGTGGGACAAATCAGATGCTGCGTTTCCGTGTAGGACTTTGGATTGTTGGGATTGGGTTCCCGGATGGTTTGCTTGTAGCATCCATTGGCATCGGGGGTGCCGGTCTCGATGACGGTCGTCTTCCTGGAATCTGGACGGACTGGTTCCACCACAGCAACGGGAGCAGGGACACCTGCAGGATAGTGGTGATGGACGACCGCCACCGGAGGAGCGGGTGCGGCAGCTGGAGCCTGATGGGCCCTGACAGCAAGGGCGCCTAAAGCTCCTCCAGCTAAAACTCCACCCGCAAGACCCAAGCCTATGGAATTACAGAGAAAAAAACATACAATCGTAGAGAACTATAGACTTCGCTGTGTTAAGTGTAATGTAAAATCTAAATTTTAACTCTAAATTAAAATGTATTGAACATTTAATTGGATTTTTAATATCTAACGACTCACCGAAGGACCGCTTACGACCTCGTTTTGGAAGTGCTTGGCTAAATGGCATTAAACTCAAGCCGAGCAATGCCACCAGGAGAAAGACTTTAACCAGATTGCGATTAGACATGGTTAGATAACGGAAAACTGGAATCGTAAGATATAAGTATTTGGATAAATCGGCGTTCAGACGTAGACTGATCGCAGTCTTGTCTCGCTTGAGTCACTTGATCGCTGGCAAAGAATGTTGTTTTAACTTTGCAAATATTTACACAGTTGTTTTGGAGAAGTTAACGAAATTTGTCGTACGGCATATGTTTATGACTCGCTTTAATTTAAATTTCTGCGGAACATGAAACGCCTATTAACACGCTTGCCGTCTTATACCCTAAGGTGTTTGTACTGAGAACACTAAGAGATTGTATAAGAGTGATTCCCGGAAGCAAGGTTAAGGTTATTGCCCAAAGATATTGATAACAAAAAATGCAATTCATACTTTCACTCATTTGCACACAAAATTTAATATTCAATTGAATTAGTCTAATATATAAAATATTTATAAAAAAAGAAAACACGCACATTTGTAGGTATACATGTGCAGAAATTATTTTCGAGTTCATTAGTTTTCAGCCAAATGAATGTAATTTTGGGAGGAGGAACTTTCACCCGTTAAGCTCATTTTTTATCCAACTGCCAAAAGTCATAACCACACCAGAAAGAAAAGAAATACATAATGGTCGATCTAAAAGTGTTCTTATTATCCCGTCTCAAAGTGGTGTGATTTGGGGCGAAAACATGGCCAAAAAAACCAAAAATAAAATGGAATCCGAAAAAAAGAGCAAACGGTAATTGTTTAATGAGTGGCAGTCCCTCGGCCGCCCTTTTGAATTCCGTTTCTTGAGTATGTTGGCCAAAATTTCAGGCGACAGGACCAGCTGGCAACACGGTGGTTAAATCCGGCATATGGCACGTGAGGGTCCATTTAATTTTCATAATTTTTCGGCCACAACACGCAATTTGGTTTGTGTTAACACTCGAGCTGGGATGGCTTGCCTATTCCGCCTGGCCATTGCTATTGATTAAATCGGCTTAAAGCTTTGACTAATGATGACAGAAGATTTGGCTGGAGAACATGAGGCGGCAGAGCGCATAATTCGTTGGTGGAAGCTGCCGAGTCATGGGGCAACTGTTTCGGTGTCGAAATGACCTGCATCAAATGTTTCGCCATGAGAAATCTCCAGTCATTTGTGTTCGGGGGATTTGCCGGCACTTTGTGAGACGCGACTTTAATTCGCTTAATAAATATTTGCTTAGTTTCTGGCTCGCTCAGGTTTGGTCAGTGGAGGTATGGAAAAGGCACAAGGAGGCGAGATCTTCTTCTCCTTAAACACAATGGACAATTGTCAATTGCAGGACATTCCCTGGCTTTTGGGGGTGCGACACTTGAGACCTCTGGGCGACGATAAATCATTCCTAGAGCGTGACACTTAAAGAAAGTTTCCTAACAAATGATTTTAAAAATGGAATATCAATAAAATAATGTTTGCATTAAGAATCATCTTATTACATACACAAAATTGTAAATATCAATTCAATATTCTCATGGTAATTTTTTTTAATCATATTTATTATGGAATAATTTAAATTTTATATAGAAGAAGAAAGAAAATAAGAAGATGGTGACCAAAATTACTCTGGGTAAAGGGAAGAAAACAAAATTTAAAACTCAGTACTTTAGAAATAGAGACCAAGCCCGATCAAAAAAAAGACAATTAAAAGTTTAACATTTTTTTGATATTTTATTTTTAGTAGAAACATAGACTTTATAACTTTTTTCTCTGTGTAGGATGACGACGAAACCGTCAGCGGCAGGAAGTGCCAGGATATGCGGCCAGGAGGCAGTGCAGCTCTTCTTTCTGGCCGTTGATGGACATCTTGGGGCCAGGGACCTCTGTCGAAAGTCCTCCCCTCCTCCCAGGGATAATGATGCGCAAATCGCTGGCAGTCATCGCAGGCTCATCCTCCGGATCCGCTCCGTTCTGGCCTGCTTTGTTTCATGTTGTGGTGGCTTGCTTTTAGTTGCCTCTATTATCCTTAATGCGAGTCACTTTGTTAGAAACGTCAGTGGGCCTGCAAGCGCCATTATCGTCATCGTGCTGGCTGGCGAAAAAATATGAATCGGAAAATGTGCAGACACGCCGCCTGCCCGCCGAAAATGCACGGGAATAAAGATAAAACATGACAGGCGGTTCACATCCAGTCATTTATAATAGGGCCAATATGACCGCGCCCCTTTCCTCTGCGGCAGTTTATCATCCCGTGGCTCGGGATCTGGGGCTGTACTGGGAAAATCCCTCAGCGTTGCGGATGAGAAACCACCTCAGCAGGCTCGAAACCTAATGAAATAATTGTTGCGAGCTATTTACAAGCATCTAATTCCGATTCGATGGCGAGCCAATAAAAATATGCCATAATTATCCAGAACCCTGGCTCTGGCCAAGATAAACCAGTCCTAGACGGCACAGGCTGCAATGTTAATGACATAATTTAAAAAGCATTTCATTAATAGCCGATGTCGGGGGCCCAGGGGTCTGCGAGGCAATTAAAATGTGCACAAAGAAAGCTTGTTCGAGGCCGGATTGGAAATTCAGATGCTGGCCAGCCCAGAATGTTAATGGTAATTAAAACTGATTCGCATCGAATATGGGTGAATAAGTTGGAGAGTTCTTGTAAAGATAACAAAAGGAAGGAAAATTGAATTTAAACCTCCTCGTTAAATGCTTCCCTTGGAATTCATTTTCAACTTAGTTACTTTCCTATTCTACTTACAAGGTTTGGTTCCTAATTTGACTGATTTTTTTATGGACGTATAATTTAAATCGCTCGCCATTTTAAAATAGGTTTCCAAGGATCCAAGGCTTTCCCAGATTTTTCTATCTGCCAACTCCGCTTATCTCGAACTTTGGCATCGTCTCCGCGGCTACTGAAATATGTTTTGGCTATGCAACCCCCGATGTCCTGGCCATGTCAAATCATTTGTATATAATTCACATCCTTTTGGTATTCGGCCTTTGTGCCCAGAGGAGTGATTTATGGGCTGCTCTTCTTTCTGCCATGTTTGGAAATCTTTCTGTGTAAATACGCCAGCAGCGGGACACATTCCAAATTGGTCCGTGCAAATTGTTTGCCTCAGCACTATTATCCTTTTCGCAGGATGTCGCTGCTGCTCGCTTTTTAGATAATTGCTGACTTCCAGCATTTCGGCTGGTGAGTTATTCGATTTCGATACGAAAATTTGATATTCCGACCACATGCTGTGATTAAATTGTGGATGCCAGCTCCTTCTGCCCCAAGTCACTGCTCCAGGAGCTTGTTTTGTAATTGAAAATAGTTTTTGGCACTGATGAGAGTGCACAACTTTGTCCAGGGGCGTGACTAAGATTGCAATTGTTGATTACAGTTTCCGAGTTTTAAGGACACAAGTATGCTTAAGCAAAATAACATTGTTTGCGTGTCAGTACTTATTGGCCCCTATGAAAATAGTGAAACCACACTTAAAGCCTTATGACACTTGCATAATTTGCTGGCTGTTTGGATTTTTTTAAAAAGTCATGGCAGCCTAAATATGATTTAATATACAAATTTTTAAAATGTTTTAGATCTAAAGCATTTTTTAAAGGTTGCCGCGACTTTTGAAAATAAATCCAGCCGCTTCATAAAACATCAATTGTCAAGGACTTTATATATATACCAAAGTATACCTGTAGTAAAGCCCATTCCAAAACGATGGTCTTTTTCAAACAAATAACATTATTTAGTTATGCCTTTTAAACTACTATATATACAACTACACCGTCCATCTCCATTCGCTCTGTATGAATTCCTAAATTGAATTTTCAACTTTTAGCCAGCCCCCTGCTTATTTTTGCAGCACCGCCTGCTGTGCAATTTATCATAACAAATGCTTGCAAATTTCAGAAACTATAACCAACGCTTTACGCAACACTTGAGCATGCAAATTTAGTAAATTGGAAATCGAGTCGCCGCATTTCGAAACCGCAAAACCCATCGCCCGATAAGTTTTCCCCGAGTAACGATACACAAACGGAGGTGGGTGGGGCTTGGTCCAGTCTCGATTTCAGTCTGGGTTCCTGGTCAGGCCAAAAACTTCAAGACGGGCATGTGCATTTGTCATAAATTAGAAACTGTAACTTCCAGTGCTCGCTTTTTGCAACTGGTCCACCCAGCACTTAAATTTATTGCAAATAACTCTTTCCCTCCATAACTTTTTTCGGGGGACATTTTATGCTCAGCAGTGCTTGGCGTTGGGTTAATTTTTTAGCTAAGCAAACTAATCAACGCCCACAGTTTGCAATCTAGAAGGTCGTTTCTGGCATGAGGCAATAGCCAAAGGCTAAATGAAGTGTGTAAAATTCGAGCGGAGACCCCTTTCAATTATATCTCTATTTTTGTGTGTGCTCACTCAAAAGTAAACACCAACTTGGCTACAATGAAACCCAAGCCGGCCAGCGCAAATAAATCTTGGCCTAAGTGTTGTGGTCATTTAGCAAATGTCCAGCGATGTCCGGCATGCAAATTTGTATGTGTCCTTCTGGGGTTGGGGCGGAAAGTAAGTTCGCTCCCTTATCGGGCCTGAAGATGGCTGTGATTTATAAAATGTATTAATTAAAATGTCCCGAGACGAGATTGTAGAAATTATTGTAGAAGTCCAGAGTGTAATGGTGAGTTAAATGGACTATGAAAATAAGTGAGAAATCCTCTAGGTTTCGTTTTGGTTATCATAACCGTGAACGAGTAATTAGTTAAATCTCTTTACAAGTTGACAGATATGCCATAAAATAAAAAAATGGTATATTAAATATATTTCTCTATCAAGCCCCTGAAACAAATTAAATAAAGGACTCCGAAGAAAAAAGGACGAAAAAATGGTTAGACATTCTCCCTCACATTCTCCATTCAAATCTCATTCCCATTTTCCTTCTCAGATTCTCCTTCTCAACGCCAACATAAACACATAAGTGGTAGTCCTGTCAAAGTCAAAAATAAACGCAGCGACAATAATGATTTATGTGAGCCGAGTCGAAAAGGAAAGATCCTGATTCTGTGAAAGGAAGCCAAGGATTCGGGCATTTTTGGGGATGACGACTTGGGAATGGGTATATCCAAGACATATGAAATTCTGGAGATATGCTAAAGTGTGTCGTTGAAGTTGGAAAAGCGCGACAA